GACCTGCTTTTTTGGATTTTGATGAGCTTGGTGATGATGTTAGCCTGAATTAAGGGTCTAAATATCTCGGGGGGGGGGAATGCAAGAAAGTTTGGGAAAAAGTCTGGAAAAGTCTTGGAAATCATTTGGACCCTGCTACAAGTCTGTGGCTAAAGACTTCATTTTTGTGTTAGGATATAACGATGTTGTTTACGTGCTGAAGACAGACTTGAATGTGTTTTTTATCTCTTCAGATTACTAATGCTGCAATGGAAGCAAGACGTAGATACGGCTGTGAAACTGATGAAGAAATCACTAGAAATAGACGACAAATGTGATTTTGCATATGAAACATTAGGAACCATTGAAGTTCAAAGGTAAGAATTATTTTAATTATTCTGCACACTGTTCTGAAAAATTACTCATAAAATCATCATTGAGAAGCTGTCTCTCTTGATGGCAACATAATTGATATTTGGCCCATGAGCCAAGTAAGTTTTCAACTTGAACCGTTAAGGTTCGCATGACAAAACTGGATTTCTATAGATCGCCCTCTGGAGAGCTAGGCGTAACACTATGGCCATTTTTTTCCACTTGTAAGTGATTTAATGTACAACATTGGTATATATCGTATGTGCTATGCTTCCAGTGTTCACTGTTTGTTTACATGAGATTCAATACACACTGTGCAATGACCACAATCTTTTTAGCTCCGCTGTCGACTTTGTCGAGCGGAGCTTATCATATGAGTGATTGTCCGGCGGCGTCTGTCATCGTCTGTGTCAATGTTTTACTTTTTTGACTTCTTCTTGAAAACTACAAGCCTGACTGCTTTGATACTTGGTGTATATGTACCTTGGGTAGACCTCTCTCAGATTTGTTCATTTTGTAATGATATCTTTAATTCTCTAATTTTGGTGAATATTTTTGTCATTTTTAGTAAAAAGTGATATTTTCGACTTCTTGTTAAAAACCGCAAGTTCAATTGCTTTGATATTACATATATAGGTACTACATGTGGAACTCTCTCAGATTTGTTCATTTTGTAATGATATCTTCAATTCTCTTATTTGGGTGAATATTTTTGTCATTTTTGGTAAAAAGTGATATTTTCAACTTCTTGTTAAAAACCACAAGTCCAATTACTTTAATATTACATATATAGGTACTACATGTGGAACTCTCTCAGATTTGTTCATTTTGTAATGATATCTTTAGTTCTCTAATTTTGGTGAATATTTTTGTCATTTTTAGTAAAAAGTGATATTTTCGACTTCTTGTTAAAATCCGCAAGTTCAATTGCTTTGATATTACATATATAGGTACTACATGTGGACCTCTCTCAGATTTGTTCATTTTGTAATGATATCTTCAATTCTCTTATTTGGGTGAATATTTTTGTAATTTTTGGTAAAAAGTGATATTTTCAACTTCTTGTTAAAAACCACAAGTCCAATTACTTTGATATTACATATATAGGAACTACATGTGGAACTCTCTCAGATTTGTTCATTTTGTAATAATATCTTTAGTTCTCTAATTTTGGTGAATATTTTTGTCATTTTTAGTAAAAAGTGATATTTTCGACTTCTTGTTAAAAACCGCAAGTTCAATTGCTTTGATATTACATATATAGGTACTACATGTGGACCTCTCTCAGATTTGTTCATTTTGTAATGATATCTTTAATTTTGGTGAATATTTTTGTCATTTTTGGTAAAAAGTGAGATTTTCAACTTCTTGTTAAAAAACGCAAGTCTGATTGCTTTTATATTACATATATATTGAATTCTTGTTGAAAACAGCAAGGTCCTTTGCTTTGATACTATACATATTGTTCATTTTCTAATGATATCTTCAGTTCTTTAATTGAAATGTGCATTGCTAACAGCGGAGCTACCTCAGCTGACAGGCTGCTTGTTTATTAAAGCGAGAGGGTTGTCAACTGCGCATACCCAGGTGACAACTCCCTCACTTTAAAACGCTACTCGTTAAATTTTTACTTGTGTGCGTAATCTATTACATATGGCAGTGACAATATTTCTTTTCAAAACCATATTTAGCTCCGCTGTCGACACAGCAGAGCTGTTCATATTACAGTTGTCTGGCATCCGTCGTCGTCAACTTTACAATTTCAACTTCTTCTTCAAAACCGCAAGTCAGAATGTTTTCAAATTTGATATTCAAGTACCTTGGATGGTTCTTTCTCAGATTTGTTCATTTTCAGATTTGTTCATTTTATGTAAAAATCTCAAATTCTCTATTTTTGGTGAATATTTTTGGCATTTTTGGTAAAAAATGATATTTTCGACTTCTTGTAAAAAAAAAACGCAAGTCCGATTACTTTGATATTACCGTACTCGACCGCGTAAGCGCCCAGGGTCCTTAACTCATAAAATCAAGATTTTTTAGGGGTGGGTGCTTACCCGAGCACCCCCCTCGGAAAAGAGTGGAACTGACAATTTTACCAATTCACCATGTGACAGATTTAGTGGGCATATTACCGGATTCGGCTGATACCACGCCCATCCTAAACCCCCCCGGGGGGCCCATGGGCGATGTTTCAAATAGTGGGCGATGTTTTGGTCCACACATTGCCTGACTGTACCAACAAACATTTTTACAGACCCCAATTTTCCTGTCCGACATTCTGTATCGAGCACGCTATTTCAAATATGACGCTAAAATAATTCACTGTGAAGCCGAAAAGCATTAAAAACTTCAATAAAACCAATGCTGTATACACATTCTTTCCGCCATGATGTACTTGCATTTGACCTGCATCAACGTCCTTTGACCTAACGGGTCAAGTCTGTTATTATCAAAATGCTGTGTGGTACCGACGCAATTCTTTTATTAACAGGTCATTGTCGAAGTGTAGTTTACGCACGGTTACCGTGGTCTATGCATTCACGGCGGTCGATATCCACGCTGTATCATATAAAAACGATAAATTATTGGCATTTTGAAGGGGTGGGCGCTTTGCCGAATGTGAACCTGCATATAAAAATTGCGCAAAAGTGGGGGGTGGGCGGTGGGCGCTTGACCGAGCATGGGCGCTAACGTGGTCGAGTACAGTACATGTATAGGTACTACATGTGAATCTCTCTCAGATTTGTTCATTTCATGGTGATATCTTCAATTTTCTAATTTTGATGAATATTTTTGTTATTTTTGGTGAAAAGTGATATTTTCGACTTGTTAAAAACAGCAAGTCTGATTGCTTTGATACTATACATATTGTTCATTTTCTAATGATATCTTCAGTTCTTTAATTGAAATGTGCATTGCTAACAGCGGAGCTATCTCAGCCGACAGGCTGCTTGTTTGTCATTAAAACTGCTAAAAATAATGTCAGTCTATTTAAATTTGCTGATTGCATATTGGTACCAAATAGGACTACTGTAAAATATTTTATTTTCACTTGGAATAAATTTTCGCTAATTTCGCTGAAGGGATGATTTAATGAAAATAAAATCCAGCGAATATACCTTTCTTCCTGTATTTTACATTCAACTCGTCAAAAATCAGTGAAAATAAATTCCATACAAAACACTCAATATCTTTTCAGCAAAAATTTATTCCAGCTGAAATAAAGTATTTTACAGTAGGTACTTGTCAAAAAGTACAATAAAACTGACAATATTTTTAGACACTTAATATTTTATGTCACAGAGTACAATTTTGAGATACATCGTTGCCATATCAACAATGGTAAAATGCTCTAAAAACAAACAAAACATGCTATTTGCACTCTATTTTTGACTCCCGTGTGCGAAGCTCAAAGTGGGAGTCTTTGCAGTTAGTTTGTCTGTATGTGTGTATGTGTGTGTGTGTGTGTGTATGTATGTATGTATGTGTGCCCGTCTGTTCCACTGATATCTCAAGAACCATACATCAGTTTTTGATGAAACTTGGTGCATAGATGCTCTGGGCCAATGCACAGATTTGATTAGGTTTTGGTAAAAATTAGTGCATATTAATTACTTAATTTGCATGATAATTAGCTAATTTTTAGCTGTTCCATGACTGTTCCACTGATATCTAAAGAACCACTCATTTGATTTTGATGAAACTTGGTATATAGATGCTCTGAACTAATGCTAGGTTTTGATTAGTTTTTGGTAAAAATTTCCTAATTACTAATTACCTAATTTGCATAATGATTAATGAATTTTGTTTTTCCACTGATCAAGTTCTAATCATCACATAATGAAACTTGGTATATAGATGTCATAGGACACTGTACAACCCTGATAGTTTTTAGGGTAATATCAGTGCATATTAGTTACCTAATTTGCATAATTAATTAATTTCCAGCTTTTGATGTTTCAAGTCGTAAGCATTACATTTCAATGAAACTTGGTACATAGATACTCAAGGACTATGCAGAGATTCATTTTTTGGGGGATAAATATTTGTGAATATTAATCACCTAATTTGCATAATTAGTTAATTTTTAGCTTTTTCACATATATCTCAAGTACTAATCATCACATTTCAATGAAACTTGGTACATAGATTTTTTAGGACTATCCAAAGACCTGACTAGTTTTAGGGTAAATAATTGGGTATATTATAACCTAATTTGCATAATTTTCAGCTTTCACACTGATTTCTCAAGTACTAAACATCACATTTCAATGAAACTTTGTACATGGATGCTGTAGGACAATATACTGAATAATTGTGAGTTAAAATCTGTACATATTAATTACTAATTTGCATAATTAGCTACTTTTAAGCCATCACACTGATATCAAAAGTACTAATTATTCTATTTCTATGAATCTTGGTACAAAGATGCTCTAGAACAATGTACAAACCTGATTAGTTTGGGGTTAAATACTGTTTATATTATTTCCCTAATTAGCATAATAATTCATAATTTTTTTGGGTTCCAATCACATTTCAATAAAACTTGGTACATAGATGGTCTGTTACATTGCGCAGACCTCATTAGTTTTACACTCAAATCTGTTCTTATTAATTTTCTGATTTGCATTATTAGTTTTCAGCTTTTCCATCACTATCTCAATTAAGTACAAGTAATTTTGAATTATATTTAATGTGTCTCTCAGCACACAGGAGTTCTTTCTAAGCTTTCTTTGATTACATCTATTATCTGTGAACCGAGTATGGTAACCACATATTTTTATTAAAATTTCTTTATTCTTGTAATGTGAAATGACAAATATGCTATAATAACATTATGTTTATTTATTTTTAAGTAGCATTCTACTTTTAATAGTGCTTGCACTAATAATTCAAATGCAGATCAAGCACAGTGGATATAACATTGTGACATTATTAATTTTGAATAATTGTACAACAGATATCTCCTCATTAATACTTCTTTTCTGATTTATTTCAGGGGGAATTTGGAACACGCAATTCAGTTATTTGAGAAAGCCATCGATTTAGCGAGAACTGAGATGGAGATGGCACATTTGTACTCCCTATTGGATGCAGCAATAGCACAGACTCGCGTTGCCACCATGTACAATATCAGACCACCCATGCAATAATGTCATCTCTTGTACCCCATATCGCACACAGTGTGTGTGCTTTAACAGAACTCAAACTAAATAACAATTTATGTATATTTAGTAAAACGAAATAACAAAGAAGCAGTAGATGCTTCGTTCATTTAATGTCTTCTCTGAAAAATTTATGGTTTTTGTGAAATCTGATTTAAAGCGTCAGAGAACCATGCACTAAATTGCATTATGTGGAATCTACATGTATATCCTTTCCAAGACCAAC